ATACATTAGCACAGGATGTACTCCGCGGGCGATATGGGACGCATCATCCCCACCCCCACAAGACCCGACTGCCTCAATCGGCGTTCTGACGAACCCCATGAGACACTGGCCCTACGGAGCCAGAGCTCTGATACCAAATGATAAGGGACTGGACCCCTAACATCATCCTAAAAGCTAGCTCGTAGAGTAAGGCCTGAACCCAGCCTTACACATTAGCCCAGGATGTATTCCGCAGGCGATGTGGGACGCATCACTTCCCTCCCCTCATTCTACTTTTATATATATTAGTTTTTTCTATGACATGCATTATACGTTGACTGTACTCGTTATATACTCATTATATCTCATATTTTTTTTTAATATAAAATATAGATCATATAATAATATTATTATAAATATATATATAGAATATATATATATATATATATATATATATAAATTCTGTTTTGTTTAGATTAAAATAAATTACAAGTTAAAATAAATACAAGTGGTTATTTTATATTGTATTTTGCCATACAAATTACTTGCAATGTTACTTATTATGTACTTAATTCTATTTTTTTATAATGCAGTGATCTTAAAATAAAGTTCAACCCAATCCTTAGACCTAATCCTTTAGTCCATAATTTATAAATGCAGACTTTTTAAATCATAATAGGTGCTCAAAAAGAAAATAAAGTCATCACTCAATCTCCAACCCCCCTGCTCTCAATCCCAAATCAATATCTATATACAACTATAACAAAGAATAATAATAAATTATTTTTACTGCTAGGTTAAAGAAAAGAAATAAGAAAATGATCTGAATTGATAATGAAAATCACTTTTATCACAGTGACAATATTATTTACGCAGTGTAACACACAAAGAAATATATGCACATACTCTTACTAAGTCAAACAGATTTAGGGATAAAAAGAGAAAAAATAGAAAATTAAAAATATGTAACCATCGAGAAACTAATCTGAACACTGATAATTGGGAAATACACTGAATTGATAATGGAAATCACTTTGACTACTGTGACAATATTATTTACCTAATGTATTAAATAAAGAAATATATGCACATACTTTTAAGTCAAACAGATTTAGGATATAAGAGAAAAAAAATATCAAAAAATAAAAAATATTTAACCATCAATAGGCCATCTATTTATTGCAAAAGAGATATAAATTCTTACTAAACTAAAATGATAGTAGTTACAAATTATTCAGTAACGAAAAAGAAAATACAAAATTATTATTAAGAATAAACTCTTTCAAAACTCACCTTAAAAAAAAAAACGTTTCAATGTATATAGATATAATATATCAATTAAAAATTATATATATTATTTAAATTCAAAATTTCAATGTTAACCATCCCATGTTTAATTATTAAATTCTATTTGAATTTACTTTTTAAAAAATATATCCAATCAAATATTACAAACATAAAGAACAAAATATTAATAAAAATAACATACTTTTTTCTCCTTTTTTTATCTCTCTCCTAAAAAAATATTATACTATATATGTTCTATTTGAATATTTATTTTTAAAAATATTTTCAATCATATGATACAAACATAAAAAAAGAATAACTTAAAATTAAAAATAACTTAGCGTCTCTAAGGGCTAGGGAAGCCAGATTTGAAATGAGGCCTCCTACTGAAATGAGGCCTCCTACAATACTGGAGAGGTATGCTTCTGCCATTACTTTATTTCAGGTGAGTAGTGAAGCTGTAAAGCTGGAATGGGAGTTAATTAGAAACTTGAACAAGAAGGACTACTTTGAAGAAATAATGTTTATGTCCATAACAAGGGTTTCTAGAAAAGATTAATTAAAACAATTTTTTACAAATTTTTTGGCACGGATTAAAGCAGCGTGTGCGGGATTTTGTTCGAGCCTGTGATACCTATCAACAGCACAAAACAGAAACACTCCAGCTAGCAGGTCTCCTTCAACCTCTCCCAATTCCAACTCATGTTTAGGCTGATATTTCCCTTGACTTCATAGAGGGAATTCCTACTTCTCGAGGGAAGAATGCGCTACTGGTGGTCATCGACAGATTTTCAAAATATAGCCATTTTGTTGCTCTATCTCATCCGTGTATAGCTGTAAGTGTTGCTCGATCCTTCTTTGACAACATTTTTAAATTAGATGGGTTGCCGGAGACTATGGTTAGTGACCGAGACGTAACTTTCACTAATTCATTTTGGAAGGAATTATTCCGTTTGTGTGGTACCAAATTGTGTTTCAGTTCAACTTATCATCCACAGTCGGATGGCTAGACGGAGGTCGTTAACCGCACCATTGAAATGTATCTTCGTTGTTTTACAAGTGCTCAACCAAACAAGTGGATTGATTGGCTATCTTGGGCTGAATTCTGCTACAATACAAGCTACCATTCTGCTCTCAAGTCCACTCCTTTTGAAACAGTGTATGGCCATCCTCCTCCTCAGTTGCTTTCATATATGCCCGGTAGCTCTTCCATTGAGGCTGTGGACACTGCTCTTAAAACCAGGGATGAGATGCTACACCTGCTTCGACAAAACCTGCAGTGAGCATAACAAAAAATGAAGCACAACTATGATCAATCTCACCGTCACTTGGAATTTCAGGTTGGTGATAAGGTTCTGCTTCATCTACAACCTTATCGTCAAAGTTCAGTTGCTAAATGAAGAATTCAGAAACTTTCAGCCAAGTTTTATGGACCCTTTCTGATACTTGAGCGAATCGATTCCATGGCTTATAAGCTAGACTTACCTGTAGACTCAAAGTTGCATCCAGACTCAAAGTTGCATCCTGTTTTCCATGTTTCCTCCCTCAAGCGTTATCATGAAGGATAAGATTCTTGTACTCCAGTGCTGCCACCAACTCCACCAGATGTTCCTTATCAACCTCTGGCTATTTTAGATCAGCGTGTTAAGGGCGGGCAACTTGAGATTTTAGTCCATTGGTGTAATTCTTCTCTAGCAGATGCTTCATGGGAGAATGCTCAAGATTTTTCAGTCAGGTATCCTGAATTTGTGCTTGAGGACAAGCGCCCTTTAGGGACGGACAGTAATGTTACTAAGCCTTTGCAAGTCTACACACGTTTCACTCATGGGCTCAAGACCAAACAGCCACGCATTGAACTCCTAAACTAACTGCCATATGGAGTTGACTCATTCAATTATTTCAGTTGCTTTATGCATTTAGTTATTCGTTTTGTTTTGTGATTCCTGTTTTGTAGGAGGGAGTTCCTCCACTTTCTTTTCATGTTCTTAGTTGAGGAGGGTGTTCCTCCACTTAGAAGCAGTGCTCCTTTGATGTAGGAGGTAGTTATGCCTCACTTTTGTTTTTAAACAAGAACAACAATGAGAACAGGCAGCTTCAAAATCATTCAAGTCTTTGAGCACTTTAGTCTCAAGAGGTTCTAAGTTCCCTCTTTAGAGCCTGAACTACAGTCACCATAGTTCATAAAAAGAAATCCCTCAACCCAGCCACTCAAACACCATCCACATCCTTAACCCACAGACCCATAACCAGATCCGTAACCTGGGACCATATCACAATTGTATACGTGTCAATTGAATATTGTTTACTGTATGATATTACAGGTCTTTTTCCCTATAATTTATTTTCAGCATTGGTTTCTAATGATTGCTCATGTCAAGAAAGAAGAAATATATGTAGTTGATTCTATGAACTATCAACAAACATTCTGGGAGGGTATAATGCAATTTTTGGTGCGTACAAGCAAGATTGTACCTTATCTTAAAGAGTCGTCTTCTTAGTAATCTTGATAACTTTCAATCTTTCACATATAAATATCATATCTAAAAATTTTGTATCCATTAACATACATAAAACAACTGAAATACAGTAGAATTATAATATAATACATAAAACAACTGAAATACAGTAGAATTATAATATAATTAGCACAAAAGTAAATACAGTAGAATCATAGTATTATTTAGTCTCCTCTTTCTCCATGTCATTATTAAAATAATAATAATAATAATAATTTCGTAAAAAGCTATGGTTTTTTCTTTATTCCCATATTTGTGAAGGAAATAAAATAATAATAAAAAAAAGAAAAATGGCTTCCTGCTGGAAAAAATATGTAAACATAGAAGTTGTATGTTCTATTATTCGCTTCTTAACCTTCTCTATTTTCAATAGAAAGCAATAATTAAAAGAACAATAATTATTAATTAAAATCAACATCATCATAATAGAATCTTTTTAGCAAAAATTTACTAATAAAAAACTTTAAAGCAGTATAATTAGAAATATTATACATTAAAAAAAATCAGAATCGCTATATTATTATTATTATTATTATTATTATTATCTTGGTAAGTAAAAGTTCAATGATGAAAAAAAAAAAAAAACAATCCTCTTTATTTATTATTGGCAAAATTATAAAATAAAATTTTAATCAATCTTAGCCAATGTTATTATAACTAGTAATAGTACACATTTTATTTGAATAAGATTTGAATGATGTAATATTTCAAATTTACTTATTTATCATTAAAAAAAATTAATTGGAATCTTTTATGAAAATAATTAATTATTTATTTATTTAGTTAAATAAATTAAAAATGACATTATCAAACAGAATGATGAAGTAATATTTCAGGACCTTTTTGGAAGATTTATTGTTGCGTACTTTATCTAACATTTTCCTAATTGATCTTTTCTTTTTTTTTTTTTTTTTTTTTTTTTTTAATTTTTGAGAAGAGATTTTTTTTCTCTATTAGTATGGCCCTTGGGGATGTAATACGAAGGCTCTGTTGGGTTTGAAGTAGTGTTTAGTTTTTGATATAATTAAAACACTATCTTAATTAATTAATTATAACGTTCGATAACTATACTAATTTCTTTATGACACATATATCCTTCATTTGTCTTTATCTTTATTCCTCGCTTTCATATTTTTTTTATTATTTCAGATTAAATAGTTAATCAAACAGTTATTTATTCTAAATAGCTATATAATCATTAACCACCGACGGCTGATATTTAGCGGCAATTTTTTAAGAGCTTTCATTTCAGAATTTTCCCTTGAATCAGATGGAGAAGTAGCCAGCTGAAACAGTTCACGCAGCCTCACCAGCCTCTTTATCAGCAGAGTCCAGCATAAATTTTGCTGCATTTAGATCATCAGTAATGCGAGAGATCTGCAAAAGAAAGTTGCATTATCCATTTTACCGAAGAACAGATGCTCAAGAATACACTGGTGTCATTTTCTGTAAACTAGATACTCAAGTATGTAAACTAGATACTCAAGTATTAAATAACAGGTAAACTGTCAAAAACAACAAAAAGGAATGCTGAAAAATGTGACCTGGAATAAACAGTATTCAGGGGGTTCATTTGTTATTAACATCTAGATTATTTATTGAGGCAAGAAAACCAAGGACTGTTTAGAGGCATATTATTTATTGAGGCAAGAAAACCAAGGACTGTTTAGAGGCATAAACTGGTTCTGTAATTTTCTCATTGAATAGTGTTTATCATCCGGCAAAAAAGAGAGAGAGAGAGAGAGAGAGAGAAAGAGAGAGGTAAAATAGAACTCAAAAGGCCTGTAATTTGACAAACCTTGGCAGCCAACAGGGTTGGGACCATAGTTTGAATCTGGCCTAAACTTTGTCCAAACCTGCTCCTAAATCTTTGACATCTTGAGACCGCTGCATCTCCTGTTATTGCCAAAAAGTGATGTAAGAAGCACTATCAACCATAAGTTAATGGCTGCAGTGAATGTATTACTGATTCCCGTAAAAGGAAAGGAGGAAAAACAAAATCAATAATTCCAATTTCTACACTGAAAATGTTTCAGACCACCAATATCCCAATAACAAAATATAAGGAAGGAAAATCCATCTGAATAGAATTTGCGCACGGATAAGCAATTAAGCATACAGATATAGTTTAAGAGTTTCTCATTTCATCCACATCTGAAATTATTGAAGCATGCTTACCAAATATAGTTTGCTAGACTCACAGCAGTCCTGAAGAAGATACTTGGCTTTCTTAATTGTGTTATTTAGCAAGTATAGTGCCTGAATTTCGGATGGGCAGTTGCCAAGCTGCTTCTATTTCTGGAAGTACTTCTCCAATTCTATCAGCTAGTTTCATTAATTTTGTGCACATCGAACTTTTATATAATTTATCAGTATAACACCGAAAACTTTTCAAACTAATCTAAACATAATTATAGAATGTAAGTAAAAATATTAAATTTGATTAAGTCAAGGAAGCTTCAGTCTTAGCGAACATGTCCCTCATTGGTGGTTGTCACTTGTTCTCATTGTTTTCTGCATGCCTCTGATTTCAAAGTTCAAACTTCAGTCGTTCTTTTTTTCAGGTACAAATAGAAAAGCAAAGCTCAAAAGAAACTACAGACAGTCTCTAACATAAGAGACACCACACATATCATGAAGAAGCTATTGATTAAGAGCAGCTCGAGGAGATTCCAAACAATGGGTGCACCAGGTTGCTGCAATATTTGCCAAACAATCTGCTGAAATATTTGCTTCCCGAAAGACTTGAGAAATGCTGCAATCCTACTCTCAAAGACATGAGAAATGCTCCTGAACTGAATGAATCCTGGCCCCATGTAGAAGTTCACGAAGTTGCATAGCAACACACCTAAAAAGAATGAGAGAGGAACAAAATAATTAGGAAAAGCAAAAATGAAGTCGTGTAAGACATGAAAATGAAATGAATAGTCTAATTCTCACCGTTAAATGAAATGAATAGTCTAATTCTCAACCGTTAACACCACTTAAACATCCCTTTTGCGATAATTAAAAGTTTTGCGATATTAAAAGAAAGCATTGAAAGATGCATCTTGATCAGCCTGCAACATCAAATACAGAATAACACACTTAAATATCTTCATGAAAATCAAGCTTGGGCTTCTAAAATAACATGAAAAGATAGAACATAAAAAAAATCAACTGGGAAAATGTTTCATGACCAAATAACAACTCAAAGATTTTATATATCTGAAGACTGAATTTCCTGAAAGGACATCAAATGATTGATTTAGTGCCCAATTCGATTTCTGCCCACAATTTATGATAGGCTATTGGTATTAAAGCTTACAAACATATAATGTTCCGAAGAAGAAAAGTGGATCGATCACTAGAAACAGAAGATATAGGTGTGGCACATTCAACACTATACATCCAAAGCCTCAAGATATGGCTTTAATTTGGGGCAAATGCCTAGCATTTTTTCTGAAAGACCAAATTAAACTGAAGTTAAACTGTAAGGAACCTTGGATGACTATTCTGAAAGTGAAAAGTTATGGAAATGCTATTGATTTAACTTACAGATAACTTCAGGGAAGGCAAAACTCAAAAGAATTTGATGGAGAAAACTGCCTTTATTTCAGCTCAGCAGTTTAAGAAGCTGCATGGCAAAACGTCCTAGGAGAACGAAAATAAAACAAAAAAATTAGGAAAAGCAAGAAAAAGAACTAACTCTTGCACCAGACATGAGTAAATTCTTACCTTAACTCTCGCCTTTCAACAAGAACTCTTATAACATGAAACCACTCTCGCCTTTTGTCTTAACAACCTGCAAGATCAAAAATTAAATTAGGCACCAGACATGAGTAAATTCTTACCTTAAATCTCGCCTTTCAACAAGAACTCTTATAACATGAAACCACTCTCGCCTTTTGTCTTAACAACCTGCAAGATCAAAAATTAAATTAGAACATGTTAAATCCATGATTCTTAAATGCAGAATATTAAAAGATGTAGATTAAAGGGACTGGACATACCTGAATGAAAATCTGATGATTTTTTCTAATCAAGTTTTGTAATGGCCATCCAATTGAATCCACCTTCCATCAATTTTAATATTTGGTATATGAGCAATCATAGGCCAGTCAGCACCCATGTTCTTGCTGCATCTTTCTGATAGATTTGGACATTTGTCCAATTCTAGATATTGTAATCGAGTGAGATTTGTCATCCATTTAGGTAAAGACATCAAATTTGGGCAGCTTTCAATGCCAAGTTTGCGTAGAGTAGTAACATGTTGAAGTCCCTTTGGAAGAGATACCAATTTTGCCATATTTTTAAATTGAACCCTTTTCAGGCTTCTAAGGCACTGCCACTGCATACCATTTTCATTCTTATCAGCTAGAAAATCTAGCTTTTCACAACCACATATGAGGAGAGCCTTAAGGGAAGTAAGATGTTGTATAGCACAAGGTAGAGTTGTTATGGTTGGGCAATCAGCAATATGGAGCTGTCGGAGGGAAGTGAGGTTCTGCATCAACTCCTCTGCCAGAAATTCTAGACCCTCTATTTCATGGATACACAAACTTTTCAATTGAGACGGAATAGGGGAAGTTGAAGATGAGGAACTTGAAGATGAAGGACAAGAGGATCTATATTGTAACACCGAAATCTTCATTTTCAGTGTGTCCTCTAGTGACCTCATGCTCGTATTTCTCAGTACCAATGACTTGACAGATGGAATCAATGGCATTGAAGTCAAGTTAGGGCAGGACATGATATCCAAATAAGTAGGCAGTGGAATTGGAGTAACTGAGGCCTGCGCCATCCCTTGAGATTTGGGCAATTTATGAGCCAAAGTTCCTCCATGGTAGATCCTGACATTCGATTGCCATTCTCTATGTATTCTAATTCTGTCAAATTCTGAATCGACAAACGTTTAAGAGAAGGGAAATGATCTAATGGTGGTAAACATTTACAATTTGTGCAGTTATTGATTTGAAGATCCACCAAACAACCAAGGGTAGAAATCCAACTAGGAAACTTAACTTTTCCGCACCCAGATATAACTAACCATTTTAGATTTCGGTGAGGCTGCAGCTCTTCTAATGATATTTCCCCATTATCGTCATTTGTATTGCTCTCACTTTTATCATAGGGAGCACCCAACTTCCATGCTAAATGAAGGTTTTGAAGGTGTTGCTTCTCTTCCAATTTGGCGGCCTCAAATTCAGCTGTTGCATTTTTCACATAGCCTCAAATTCAGCTGTTGCATTTTTCACATATTGCAAATTACATATTCGAAGACTTCCTCTCAAGTTGTTCAAATTACAAAGTTCATCAAATCCACCACTTTGCTTGGAGATGCGATTATCTTTTGCCACCACAAACATTGACAAATTCTGTAGGGAAGTTAATTGACCCAACCCATATGGCATATGAGTCAAGCTAGGACAGTCTCGAATGTAAAGGTGTCTGAGGTTGACTAACTTTTTCATATGCTTAGGCAATTGCTTAAGCCTTCCACACTCAATTAGTACCAGAGTCTGTAGATTCTGGAGATTTGTTATAGAATTAGGAAGGACCTTGATGCCTTTATTCTGAGAAAGATCGAGATACCTTATGTGCTTCAATTTGTCGATGGAAGGCGGCACCCTTTCAATCGACAAATTAGACAAATCCAACACCCTTATTCGTCTAAATCAGAAAAAATTATATCCAATTGTCCTTCTCTAATCTCATTTGCCATTGATTTATTGAATAATAGAAACGTTCGCACCTTCTTGGCATTGGGAAAGATACATGCAAGTTGCCTCCGTGAAAGAACTTCAGGATTAATGGATAAATGCAGAGTTCTTTCTTTCACATTAACATACTCTGCCTCTGAATTTAATAAAGTAATCTCCTCTCTTGCTACTTCCACAGAAAGATCAGACATCAAATCATGCATTTTACATGTTATTATATTACCCAATGAATCTTTTTCTACTTCTTGAAAGAAAGTTGAAAGAAAGACTCATAAAGATTCCTCAAATATTGTAAATCCTATATCTTTTCAAGATTTGTTTTGAACCTGATACTTCAATATACCCTTGTGCCACCCATGAATGACCAAAATGTATCACATTAACTTCTAGTGTCTTTTGGAAACAACTACAGTAAGCAAAGCAAATGTTTTAAAAAATGTAGGGCAAATGAAATGTGAGGGCAAATGGTTATAACTCAACATAAGTGTTGGCAAAATACTAGCATCTTCTTTATTTATATTTACAAGTTCTTTATCTTTGAAAGATAACCACTCAGATATTGTATTTTTAAAATACAATAGCCGTCCTATTGCTCTTATAGCTAAAGGAACTCCAACAAACTTGGCCACAATCTCCTTCCCTACTAGCTCATGCTCTTGGCTCCCCACTCTCCCTTGTCTGAAGGCCATTTGTACGAACAGAGACCATGAGTCCTGCTTACTTAGACCTTGTAATTCGTATATTGAATCTGATATAATCCTCTCTGCAACAATTTTAAGTCGCGTGGTTACTATTATTTTACTTCCACTTGCACTCACATCTAACAAATCCTTCAAGAGAAACCATTCTTCATAGTGCCATACATCATCCAACACATGCCATACATCATCCAACACAAGCAAATACCTTTTCCCATTAATTTTTTCATGGAGAAGATTTTTCAAGGTATTCATTTCACAATTTCTTGCAGGTTTTTCACGAGTGATAGATTCTAAAATCTTTTCAAGTATTGCTTTTACATCAAAATTATAAGAAATGCAAACCCATATTTTTAGGTCAAATTGTGACTCAACTGTCTCATCATTGAATACAAGTTGAGCTAGTGTTGTCTTCCCTAAACCTCCAATACCAACTATAGAAACAACTGACACATTCTCCTCACAATTGGAAGACAAAAGAAATTTCATAATTGCCTTCTTATCCCTTTTTCTGCCAATGACTACCCCAGGTAAAGAAGAGTGACTTTGGCCTATTTCCTCATAATTAGTCATATCATCCATCCTCTCGCGATGCTCATTATTTAAGTGAAACTTCCTGTTTTCAGCAATTTCATCTAATTTACTTCTAATTTTCTTAACCTTAAGAGCCATTTTAATGCTATAAAGAAATTGGTTCGAGCTCGAAAATAACAAACGCACCTTCTTCCCCAAATTTTTGCTGGTTTTTGCTGGTAAGCAGTTGCTCCTGCAATTTCTTTGTGGACAACTCATCCAATAAGTCATCTGCATCATAAAATGCTTCTTTGAGTGAATCAACCCAAACCTTGACTTCATGGCTCTGTGAGTACTGCTTCTCCGCGCCAAGTATCACAGCTTGGATAGTTGAAACTGTCGTCTTGAGTTTGTCAAGCTCATTTGTTACACCCCACCATAACTTAGCGTCTCCAAGGGCTGGGGAAGCCAGATTTGAAATGAGGCCTCCTACAATACTGGAGAGATATGCTTCTGCCATTACTTTATTTCAGGTGAGTAGTGAAGCTGTAAAGCTGGGATGGGAGTTAATTAGAAACTTGAATAAGAAGGACTACTTTGAAGAAATAATGTTTATATCCATAACAAGGCTTTCTAGAAAAGATTAATAAAAACAATTTTTTACAAATGTTTTGTCTTTCTTCAAAGAACAACCGTGTGGGTCATATGATTAAGCATCTATTTAGATAACTATAATTTGAAAGAAAATTCAAAATTATAATTTATAAGTTCAATTTAAATTCATTTCAAAACAATTCTTAAAGAAAGAAAAAACTTTGATAAAGCATGGTCAATAATTTTTCCTTTAGTAAATTTCTTGACAGGTTCCTAATAAAACATGTTGGATTTAATTTTCTATTGTGGGCTTAATAATTGTGGGCTTAATATGTAAAATTAAATATGTACAACAGTCCAATTGTAAAGTCAATTTCAAATGTGGTCTTGATTGTGAATAATTGACTATTGAGGTGTCAACTAATTATAGATATTAAGTGGAGAGACCATTATATAATTTCTATTTCGTTAAAGGACTGAAATAGGAATTGTACTAACCCTACAGGTATATAAAGGTCCTGGTCCCCAGAAGAGTTGAATACGATTCAGTTTTACGTTCCTTTCGTACTGCTTCCGCTAAATCGATTCTTCAATTCTCTGGAAGGCTGCAAACCTAAAATTCTAAAATACATCAAGATCGACGAACAACGATTCAGGTCGCAACTTTTCTTGATTCATTCTATTTTGTTGAATCTAGTGGTTTGCACACGATCTAAAGGTTATTAATCTGAATTATTTGAGATTAAATCTTAAACAAAGTTGGTAATCAAGACGCCTTGTGCATAAATTGCTAGATTTTAATTGATTTTTCGTAATTTTTTTTTCCTATCTGTTTACGGATAGAGGGTTTTGTTTTATTTAAAAAAAAAAAAAAAAAAAAAAAACAGTATAGGTTTGTGGATTTTTGATCGAAATCTTGGGCTTTGATAAGTAAACGCATTGAATGATTTTAGGGGATTATTGAACAAAGATTTGTTGTTTTTCAATGGTTGCCGTTGGTTTAAAACACTCAAAACATCAACCTGAGAAACCTCCATTGTTGCCTGGCGAATTAAGTTTGAAATTGGCAGTTTAGAGATTTGTGATTTCAACACCGTTTTTTTTTACTCCCTGGCTGCCATTCTGCCATTCACCGTCCAATGGCTACTGGAGTTTGTCTTCGGTTGGAACTAGTGGTGTTGGCGGCCGAAAGGGGCTGGAACGGCAGGTGGAGAGAGTTGGCGGCGGACCTGGTTCTTTTTTTTTCTTTGTTTTTTCTCTGTTCGTTTTTGTGTCAAGGTTAGGGATGGAAAATTATGGTTAGGTCCCTGGCAAATTTCATATTAGTCCTTTAATTTTATGTAATTTCATATTAGTCCCTTAAATTTCTGTAATTTCATATTGGTCCCTTAATTTTCTGTAACTTCAGATTAGTCCTCTAAGTTTCTGTAACTTCAGATTAGGTCCCTAAATTTTCTGTAACGTAACTTCAAGATTAGGTCCCTAAATTTCTACTAAACTTAGATTAAGGGCCCCTAATTCTGTTTTTCGTATTAGGCCCTTAAAATTTCTGTTTTCTTTCATTTAGACCCAAACTTATTTACTTCAAATTTATTTTAGTCAATTTTTACCTTAGTCTCTAATTTAGTGACTTAAAGACTAGATTATAATTTTTTTTTTTGGACTAAATAATTTAGATATTAAATATTTAGATAATCAATTCATTTAATTGCAATTGTCTTTGGTTTTAATTACAATTAATGATTAATTTGTCGACTTGAAGATTAAATTTTGGATGTGTGATTAAGTCCATTGTGTTTGATATTTGTTAACACATAAATTGATTTGATCAATAAGTCACAAAAGTGACCTCTATTGCTTGAATTGATTTATTTTTAGAATATTAGAAGGTGATATTAGAAATTCGTTGGCGGATAGTTAATTCGGCCCAAAGGAAAGGTTTGCATCGTGGCTGAGTTTTTGAATACATGTTTTGGCAAGCAATAAGTATGTGATAATTGTTTGATTATTTTCCATGACAATGATATATCGGTCCAAAGGAAGATTTATTATTTGTCAGGACTATGTTATCAATATTTGATTGCTGCGTTGAGATACTAATTACAAGTGAATATTTTACATCCAAAGATGAGAATATTGAGAATATTAATGTTGTGTCTGTATCTTATTTCCATTTTTGATCTCTACTTATGTGAATTGTTTCATTTGTGAATTGTGAGCTTATACTTATCTATTCGTTTATTTTCTCTGCTGTCAGCTAACATGTCATTTAATCCTGATTGTGTCCCTAAACTTGAGGGATCAAATTTTGAGTCTTGGAAATCAGACATTATGATTTTTGTGGGCTGTATGGATTTGGATCTTGCATTGAGGATGGACGAACCTGCTCCTCTTACTGCTACGAGCACTGATGTTCAAAGGGTTCAGTATGAGAAGCGGGAGCGTTCTAATCGCTTAGGTCTGATGATCATGCAGAAAGGAGTACCAGAACATGTTCGAGACTCTGTCTTGTTCGAGACTCTGTCTCAGCTGAAAAGAACAATGCTCAAAACTATCTTGCCGAGCTGGAGAGGGCTTATGTCAAGAATGACAAAGCCGAAGTGAGAACACTTTTAGGAAAATTAACCTCCATGAAGTTTGCTGGCAATGGTGGTGCTCGGGAGCATATTCTTAGCATGTCTCAGATTGCAAAGAGACTGAAGGTGCTGGGTATGGCTTTACCAGATGACCTTTTAGTCCATTTGGTTATGAATTCTCTTCCTTCTCAGTATGGACAAATTAGGACTTCCTATAATTGAATGGACTCTTAACGAGCTCATTTCTCATTGTGTTGATGAGGAGGAAAAGATGAATTCTAACAAAAGAGAGAGTGCTCATTTTGTTTCTTCAGCTGAGAAGGGCAAGAACAAGAAAAGAAAGAGGCCTTCTGCAAAGACTGTTGAAAAGGCTATTGAGAAACCTGCTGTTGCTACTGCTGTAGATCCAGTACAAAAGAAGCCTTATGTGCCAAAATGCTTCTTTTGTGGAAAGACGGATCACTTGAGAAAGGACTGTCCTAAATTTGCTAATTGGCTTGCAAAGAGGGGTAAGTACCTTGAAGTACTTGTTTTAGTCTGTTGTGAATTGTGAAGTTAATTTAACTTCAGCTCCTAAAAACACTTATTGGATGGATTCTGGTGCTACCGCTCATATAAGTGTTTCATTGCAGGGCTGCCTCAACCACAGAAAGCCAACTGACGGTGAAAAATACGTCTATGTGGGAAATGGCAATCCGGTTGAAGTAGAGGCAATTGGACATTTTAGATTATGTTTAAGTACTGGTTATTTTTTGGATCTCATAGATACTTTTGTTATTCCCTCTTTTAGAAGGAATTTGATTTCTGTTTCCTTTTTGGACAAATCTGGTTTTCATTGTTCTTTTGGAGACAGTTTATCTATGAATTCAAAAGTTTTGAGTACTGGTTGCTTGAATGAATGTGATAATCTATATATGTTAGACATTGATACTAGTTATCATGAATCCCTACATGTTACTACAAGAGGTACCAAAAGAAAGCAAGAAAGTTGATTTGATAACAGCTGTACTTTGGCATAGACGTTTGGGTCATGTATCCAAATCAAGAATTGAGCGTCTTGTTTCTGATGGTATCTTAGATACACTTGATTACACAGTTTTGGATTCTTGTATTGAGTGTATTAAAGGAAAACAGACTAAATAAAAAAGACTAGGTGCCATTCGGTCATACAGTCATCCAATGTTTTAGAATTGATTCATACAGATATTTGCGGTCCATTCCATATTGCAGCTAGAAATGGCCAAAGATATTTTATATCATTCATTGATGACTATTCTCGTTATAGTTACTTATATCTCATTCATGAAAAATCTGAGTCTTTGGAAGTGTTCAAATCTTATAAAGCTGAAGTTGAAAATCAACTAGGAAAGAAGATTAAATCTTTTCGATCTGACCGTGGTGGTGAATATTATGGTAAATATGACGGTTCAGGCGAACAACGTCCAGGACCTTTTGCGCTTTTCCTACAGGAATGTGGAATTGGTCCTCAATATAAATGCCTGGTACACCCTAAGCATGAAATGGTGGTAATCTGAGAGACGTAAAGGACCTTAATGGATATGGTAAGGAGTATGATTAAGTCATTCTACTTTACCAGAGTCCTCTGTGGGGTGAAAGCGTTAAAGACAGCAGCTTTATCTTCTCAATAGGATTTCCATCTAAAAGCAGTTTGCTAAAACACCTATGAACTTTGGACTGGAACGTAAGCCCTAGTCTAAAGCAAATCTTCATGATTTTGGGGATGTCCAGCTGAAGCAAGCCTTACAGCCGAAGAAACAAAACTGGACTCCAAAAACTAAAATCAGCAGCTACTTTGTTGGATATTCTGAGCAAGTCTAGGGGTTACAAGTTTTTATAATCCTACTTCCAGAACTTTTTTTTGAAACGAGAATTGCAACATTTTTTGAGGATGTTGATTTTGGAGGGAGAAATAAAGAAAGAAACATTGTCTTTAAAGAGGAACCAAGTAAGGATGATTCGGTTCTCATTCCTTTTGTTGTTTCTGATAGCGTACAGACTCCAGTTGCTCCT